ATATATATTATATACATTTATTTTCTATGTATTTATATAGGAAATATCAGACTTTTCGTACTTCATTTGTATAAAATAAAATTTTATATACAATAGAGGATTATTGTGAATATGCCGAATGATGCATCCGAAAGAATACACTTCGTACAGCACAGAATGCAAAAACACTATAGAAATATATTTCATTGCAAGATTGTAATATTATGTACAATACAGTTGCGTCTGTTAACTAGATGACTAAAAAATCATAACATTATATATATAGAATTTAGAAATGTCTGCCTGCCAAGGTAATATAAAATGTATCATCACGCAAAGCATAATTTCGATACGATGCACATATATTAATGACAATGTTATAAATATCTAATGATATTATACATTCGGTATTAGTAATTTAAACTTAAAAAAAAAAACATAGAGATTCAACGTCAGAGAAAAAAAATCTTGTCTTTTTTATATATTTTCTAATATAAAAATAAATTTAAGTAGCAATGTAATCGTAAATGTTACGTTATATAATAAATAATCAAATATAGTCGCAATTGCAGTATATGTTGTCATAATATATATGTATATTGAGAAACAAATTTAAGTTATGGAAAAATTATTTGGAATTAATCAAAAAGTACATACATTTATTAGATAAGTAAATGCATATGATTTTATTTTAGTTATGTCAATGATTATTATTGTATTTGTTAGTGCGTAAGATTTTTTCAGTACCGCATGTACTTGCTTCTTAATAAATCAGAATTGGACTTGAATTTTTTTTTCGTTGCTACAGTCTTATAATTTTGCAATGTTTCTTTTTACAATGTTTTCACAAAATTGCAACGTGTTGTAATGTTGCTAAAGATTCTGTGCTGCATGAAATTCAAATGTGTAACGTTTGACACAAAATTTGCAAGTAAAGTTTATTTAAATTTCAATGTAACTTACACATTTATTTGAATTAATATCTCTATTTCAAAGTATATTTATGAAGTTTTTCTGCGTTTATTCCAATGATTGTATGTATCTTTGAAAATTCTTCCTAAGTAGAATCGGAATGTTCTTCTCGTTTCGAGAAAAGATAAAATTCTTTTATCTCTTATTGTTTTATTGTTGATCATGAAAGAATTGTATTGCAAATTCATGTCGATAATATTATAAAGAAGCTATATGTAAAGATATCTAAGTGCAAAAGTAACATAAATATTTTGGTTGATAAAATATTCAATGTACATTACGCTAAGAATGCTATATGCGCATTAAATATTTTATCAATTACATTTATTTATATCATATTTTCGTTATTAAAAAATTTAAGACCTTTAACATACACTTGTAGAGAATAATGCACGTTCAATTTCTATTGATTTTCAATAAATAGTCTGATATTAGTTTTAAAATAAAATAATATATTAATGCTCTGATAAACATGAATCAGATAAACGAATTGTATCTGCCTAAATATAACTTAATTTTATAACCGTGATTTTCTTCTGAAAAAAATCGATCTTTCTTTGTACAAGCTGTTCTGAATTAACCACATTATCTTTATCTTTAATCTGAGTTTCTTTTTTAAGTTATTTCTGAAATGATTTTTCAAATTTATCAAATCTTTGATAGAGGAGAAAGGAAAAACTTCTTTCTCTTTTTCTCTCATATTTTTTTAAATATATCAATAGCCAAACTTCAAATTAAAGTTCGTCAAAATTCATTAAAAATCATCTGAAGATCAAACTTTTAACTCATTAGAATTCAAATTTTAATTTTTGTCTAAATTTTGATAGTATTGCACAAGTACTTGCCATGCTTTAGGTGCCATGAAACCATCCGGAGGATTCTGGCCTGTCTCTGCTAATCCTGCAAATAAAATAATTAATGTTGAATCATACGTACAAAATTTCAAATTTCAATATTATACAACCAAAGTTTCAATATTATACAACAACAATATTATATAATAATTTTTCAATTTTTTAAAATCTTGAAAAAAAATATAATGAAAATTGAAATTATTATAAAATAAATATTGAGATTATTTTAAGATAAATTCTATAATTTTCTGTTAATCATATGAAAGATAAATCAGGCGTAAAATTTATATTTTAATTTTCTGTTTTATTTTCGCTTTTACCTTGCTATACTTTGTACTTATCTTTGTTTTTATATTATTTTATTAATATATGTCTATTTTGCTTTTAATATTTATCTTTCACTAACCATTTACTTATATATTGTTTATATATATTTTAGAATATTAAAACTTATTATAGAATATCGTATTAAAGAATAACATAATCAAAAACTCACCTCGCATCTTTGTTCCCGAAATAAACTCAAAATCTTGCTTTCGCTCAGGTTCGAAGAATGTCATCTTACCATTCCGTGTATCATAAGCGGCCACTTTAAATGGAATGATCTCGAGATTATGAAGACCTCGGGCTATGGAGAGTACTCTGGCGCCATGAGTGGGATCATACAAATTGCCGTCAGGCGTGGCATCTTTGTTTGGATGTGGTATACCTGCAGGATCCCTACCTACGATGTAAAAATTGGCGCCAGCGTTCATCCTAGCCTTTGCGTGCCATTGCACCTGCATAAAAACAATTGTGTTTTATTTCATTTATGTTATTCATAGTAATTACAATAAAAAATGCATAGGATTACAACAGAGACAAAATCAAAGTTTTGTTAGCAAAACGGCTGAAATTAAAAGTCAAATTACAACTAAAGGCTCGTTAAGTTACAATTTTCACCTCAATCGGTCCAGCATACATCATCGGGCTGGGAAAGATAGCTAGTAACGTAGAATTAGCATCCAGCACACCCTCGTCTAGAATGGCCTTATGCTGCAGGATTCTGGTGTATAAGGATACATCGTCTTCTTTTGTCCAGCCACCTAGCGGATGAAGCAGCAGCACAGGATTTTTGAAACCACGCTCCTCCAACAATAGTCTTTTTGTATCCTTATGCGAATAAGGATACAAAAAGGATAAATAAGATGATTTTCATTTATATTTTGTTATATGAAGGAAAACGATTTGCTTTGAACAGATAACATACCTGCATAAGAAGCGCATGACCATTGTGAATGGGGTTTCTTAGCTGGAAAGCAAATACTGCGTCAGCTTTCATTTTTCGACATCTGGCACGTATCTCATTTGGCGTGAGTCTGTATTTGTCGAGTCCGTCATACCATTTGATCCTCTCCAACACTTCGAGGTCGCCACCCATCAACCAATCGCCGGAATCATAAATCATCCTGACATAGGGATGACCTAAGTTATTAGTGCCAAACTGCCAACTGCAACGCTCCTCTTTTCGATGGAAATAAAATTCTGGTCTTCGTAGGATGGCCAAAGCTTTCTGTTTGTGCCTTAAGGTTACAGCAAGAGAATTTTCCAAACGGTTCTTATCAATTGTACTTATTGCAAGAACAATTGGCACCGATTGATTCACTTCTTTGCCATCTTCGAGCAAACACCGCAAATGTTGAGCCTTAAAGAAATTATGATAATTCAATAATTAAGTTAATAAATAAAATCGCATCACTTAATTTTCAGGTAACATCATATGCGGGATGCAATCATGTTTCAAGGCTTGCTTTAAGTATACCTGAAGGTATTGATGTTCTCTCATAAAACCTGTTAATGGTGTCGCCCATCCTTCTGCTAAAACTTGCAGCCATTGCACGTCGAGTTCATTAATCTCCACACACTGTAGAGTTTCTGCTTCCATTTTCGCAGAAGCAAGCTTAGAATCCGAAACAAAGAGCTCTTTGATTAGATCTGATGATTTTGCAAATGGCGGAATAATGCGGTGCTTCTCTAAAAGCTCAATTACAGTCGAAGCAGACTCCTCAGGAGTGCAATTCTCGGTTTTTACAATTAAATCAGGTTTCGTGGGTCTCTCGTACATTTGATCAATGCCGGTGAAACCTTTAATGGTACCCTGCCGCGCTTTCTTGTAAAGGCCTTTAGTGTCGCGAGCTTCACAAATTTGCAAGGGTGTATCTACAAATATTTCGAAGAAGGGCAAGTCAGCTTCTTTATGAATCTGCCTTGCCATCTGTCTATCTTCTTCAAAAGGTGACACGAAGCTGCAGAGACATATTTGTCCACTGTCAGCGAAGAGTTTTGCTACTTCAGCCACTCTTCTAATATTTTCTTTTCTATCTTGCTTGCTAAAAGTTAGATTACGATTTAGACCACTTCTAACATTATCGCCATCTAGGCCGTAAGCAGGAATACCATGATTCACCAAAATCGCTTCCATTTGAAATGAGATGGAGGTCTTGCCAGCGCCAGAGAAACCAGTTAGCCATACCGTGCAACCTCGAAAACCACGAATACTGCCTATAGCTTGTCCTCGTTTAGCTCTGGATATGTGATGTGCTTGCTCCGACACGTTTGCGCAGATCTAAAAAAATTTTCAAAATTTATAGAATATATTCAAATTCAAATTTCATAATTTTCATAATTTTATTATTTGGAAATAATTTCCTGAAAAAACAGAATGTAATTTGAAATTTCAAAAGATTTAATGTGTTTGTTGTGTTTTTTTCAAGGAGAAATTATCTTATTTCATTCTGAATGCAAGAAGTTTAAGTCATGAAATATTATCACTCTCAACTTGATATTTTTTGACATGTTAAATTCATACAGATTACAGATTTCTATATTAATTTTTTGAATTTTTTGATTAATATAATTCTTTTTAGTGTAAGTGTCTGAAATTTGTGCTAATAATCGTTTTTGTATTACATGTATTTTTATAGTTAAATAAATATTTATCTGAATATTTATTTTATCTCATGGATATATCAATTTCAAAATTATTCAAAAAGAGAGGACAGGTATAATTACAATTTCAAATGAATCTTCGAAAATGAAACTTTCCATAAAAAATTCAATTCCATATTTTAGACAACAGATTTCTTCATAGTAAATCAATTTCTCTTCCATATAGCATCTTCCATAACGAATCATTCTATATAAAATAAGACATTAAGTCTTTCAACAAGCAAGATATTCTTGTTTTTTTTTTCAAATTTAATTTTGTATCATGGTTAAATAATCAAATATTTAAATCTAAAATCTGCTTGTTCCTATTTATATCTGTACTCTTGTACTTTCTGTATTTAAAATAAATACAAAATATATACATACATGCATATATTTTGAAGAAAAAGATGAAAAAAAAAAGATAATAAAAAACAAATTTGGTACATGAAATACGTAACAGCAAATATCAAGCTAAAGAATGAAAATTATATATGTAATTCATATGAAGCAAATATAAACCTTGTTTTATAAGTTTCATTATATTATTTTAATTTCATCATGCTGTACGAGGCAAAGGAAATGATGTTGCATAAGATAAACGTACCATCAGCTTTTTATTTGGTGGCGGTGCGATACTCTGCTCGGCATTACTCGACATGATTGCAGCTACTAGCAGTTACAAGTTTACGAGCATATACGTGGCAATTATGTTAAATGCGACCGAAGACGACAAGTATGATAACGGATGACGCTTTGTAATTCCATGTTGACAGTCACCGACCTTGATTGCATTGCGTTGCGATTCACTAAACTGTCTTCGTCTTCTTCATCCTTGATTCGCCCCGATTCCGTCATCGGAATCGATTAACCAGATATAAAATTCATTAAATTGTACTATATCGCATCAATAATGCTACGAAAGTAGCGCAAAGATATTAACCATATCGAAACCTGAGTCAAAAGGTGAGAATGAGATCATTCATGGGTATGGACGTCGCCATATTGAAAATTAGACCTTAGATACTAGCACTATCTGAACTTAAGGAACAAAATTATTTAAATATATATGACTTACTGATGAATTCAGACAACTTTTAATTAGTATTTTTAATAATTTCTGCACTTTTAAATTGATTTGCTATATTTTTTTTACAAATGATGCAAGGCGATTTCATCATTTTTATATTTAAATTTATTAATTGTTAGAAACTACACACTATAAATAATAAATTCTTTTACCGACGGTAGGGAAGAAGAGAAATGTAATATCTCCTAAATTCAGAAGTGCTAGTATCTATTCCCAATATGGCGCAGGCCATGATAACATCGCTGGAATCGCTCTCAAGCCATTTTCTTTAGGTTAGGATTTCTTATTTTTAATCTTATTATTTTGGAATTATTATATTTGTTATTAATCTTTGTATGTAAGTATTTGATATATAGTGCATTATTGTCGCTACTATTAACATGCGACTATTAACTAGATTTAATTTTTTCTTATTAGATTCTATGGTCTCTATAATTACTTGTTCCTGAATAAGAGACAAGTGCTATCTCGTGCTCATTTCTCAGTGTGATATAATTGAGTTGTGAAATATTTGCAAATATGTTGCCCTTACACATATTATCAAAGTAAGTACATTTGCACTATATTGAAATTAATAGATAGTTAAAAATGTTGTGTATTAAGATGTCAAGAACCCAGCAAACGAGAATGGATTGAAATTTTTTTCTATCCGAATGTGTATTTTAAATAGCGAATATTTTTTTTTGGATTTAATTGGATTCAATTAAATTGAATTCAATTAAATTCAATTGGATGCAATTGGATTGAAAAACTGTATTTCCTATTCAAAATTTTAAATTGAACAGTATTTACAATTATGTTTATGTGCATAGAAAAAACTAATATTATTTTTAGATTGAAAGACATAGAGATGTACTCCAATTCCTATAAATGAATAAAAATGCATTTCAGAAAAATATATATGTTGAATTGAAATTCATTTTAATATTCGTGAATCAATATTTCTGAAAATCAGAATCCATTTTAATTCATTTCAATTCATTCTTGTTTGCTGGGAAAGTTTTCTATGGCTTAATGTAGAATTTTTATTATAATAAGCATATAATAATCAAATATTATATAATTAAACATGATTATATATCTTCAAGGGTAAGTCATATAGTATACTTTTCAATTTATATTTTATCTACATAGTTTCTCTCTCTCTCTCTCTCTCTCTCTCTCTCTCTCCCATTAAAAATTTTATAATTAAACTAGATTTATTTTTTTATATATATACATGCAATTATGCTATATAAAGTGATTTATTATATTATTATTGATTTATGTTTTTAGACTTGTATTATTCTGTAAAATATTATCTATTTATTTTTGTTATTATATCAAGAAATATATTTCATAGATGTAATATAAGATCCTCAAGCGGAATATTTCAATGGATAAATATTTCCACGAGATTGTGCTCTTCATCTTCATCATCATCATCATCAGATTCATCAGATTCTGATTCTGAAAAAACAAACCCAAAGGCAAAGCATGTTAAAAGTGCAAGTTCTGCAAGTGCAACATTAGATAACAAATATGATTTGGAAAACTTCTTGAATAACGTGATACAAGTAAATTATGAGATTTTTATGTAATGATATCTATTTTAAATTCTGTTAAATCTCGAATATATTATTTCACCTCTATTAGGAATCTCTATTATTTTATTCTATTTTTAGTAAACCATACAGAGATACTAACAATAAAAGTTCTTACTTTAAAAAAATAATAAAAACATTTTCTTTTTTAAAAATGTTCTAATATTTAAAAATAATTTTTTTTTAATTATTGCATTTAAGAACACAGAAATCAAACTGAATATCTATAAATAATAATTATGCTAAATTGTATTATATTTTTTCAAGTAAAATGTTGACACACATTACATTTAAAAGTATATATAATGAGATATTTTTCAGAGACAAATGTAAGTAGTATATACTTTAACGAAGATATCTGTTATTACTTTTTTAGACGAGAAAGACGCAGAAAACTATTGATGTTGCCATGCAGCCTAAAAAAAAGAAGAATAAATCAAATAAAAAACATGAACCTTTTGGTAACTTTATCTGTTGATAATTTTATCTTTGTGCAGGTTCATATCTTGCTTAATGTGTTAAATTATTTTTTTTGTAGAAAAGAAAATAATAAATGCAGCAGAAGGTGTGGCTAATGTGCTTGGTGGAGATAAAACCAAAACAACATCAGACTTACTTGAAAAAGTTCTTGTGTCTAGAGTAACAGCATTGAAAGAACAGGAAAGCACGTATGTAGATGTATTGTTGCATTATTGTATCTAAGTACAATAAATTATATATATTCCATATAATAATATGTGTAATAATATGTATGTTTACACATATACATTACTTGTAATTCAAAGTTTTTTAAAAAATATTTTTATTATAAGTATATTTAATAGTTACATGCAGAAAAATGTTAAACAATTGCCAAAATATGACGTACAAAAAAGTTCCCAAGACAAACATTTAAAAAAAAAGTCTATAATACAAACCCTGCTGGACGAATATAATAATCAACCAATAAAGAAAGTAATTGAAAATAGTGTATCAAGAAATTTATTACAAAATAAAGCATCTAAAAAGATGTTACAGGATACAAAAACTGATAAAAAACCGCCTCATGCCAGGTATTACAAGAAATATAATATTATTATATTATAGAAATTAAATCCATTCATTTATACAAATGATATTATTTATTATATTATAATCTAACATATTTAGATATTTTAATATATTTTAAATATTATATATTTAACGTATAATTTTTAATTGATTATTATATTATATGATAGATTCAAAGATATCGATTTGTGGAATGGAAAACCTAGTGAAATTTTTGAACATATGAATGCCGCTTCACCAAATATACCGAAATTGAAAACATGGGCGACATTAGAACAAAGAGAATTAAAAATATTGACAACTTACTCACCTGCCAATATTTTTCAAGAACTAATTCTTTGGACGGAGCAAGGAAAATTATGGAAATTCCCTATTGATAATGAGCAAGGTTTCTATTACACATGCTTTTATATTATGTTTCTCTTTATTTAGAAAAATTGAGTTTAATTATTTCTATATATTTCAGGAATGGAAGAAGAGCATAATGTTCATTTCTCAGAACATATCTTTATGGAACGTCATCTGAAAGGATGGTGTCCTAAATCAGGACCAATTCGTCATTTTATGGAATTAGTGTGCACTGGACTTTCAAAGAATCCATATTTGACAGTTCAAGAGAAAATTAGACATATTATGTGGTATAAAGAATACTTTGAATCTAAACAAGACTTGTTGCAAGAAGTAGGAGCAATTCAGCAGCCAATCTCTGACAAAATAAAAGAAATTACAGAATAAAATAACATATATGTTAATGTATTCGAATTTTAATATATTTCCTATTTTCAAATTCTCCTTTTACATTCTCATACATAAATATATTATAAATGTAATATATATAAATAACCTAATAGTAGGTCAAGGATAAACTACTAAGAATTATTTAAATATAGTATTAATAACTTTATCATATACAATATGCAATTTTATTATTGACATGCAAAAAAGTTTAAATTATAAATATGGATCCTCATAATCTTCAATTAGTAAGTTTTTATCTACAGATAATTTCATTTGTATACCGTCATTCACAGGATCCATTGATAATATCACAATTCTGTTTATAACTAGCAATCCAGGATTATCCACACTTTGATGCAAAATTAAATCGATTTCATCTCCTATTTTCATCTGTTACAATTATTCCATGTATAATTGTACAAAGTATAAAGATAATAATAATCTTACTAAGATTATATCAATAGATTTCAGTTTTATTACAAAAATAATAAACTTACTTCTTTAGATTTCTTTAATACTTTATTTCCATTTATACGAATCTTGCTTCCATAAAAGGCCTCATCAATTTTACTAAGAAAAATATGAAATAAATAAGATTTAAATAAAAATATAAATTATGAAGCAATATATTTGTACAAATATAGTACACAAAATAAAATTAGACATACTTGCGAGAAATTCCAAATCCAGTTTTGGAAATAGTATCTAATCGAATAGAAGGTATCCTTACTTTGATAATTTTTGAACCTAAGGCAGCTTCCTCCTCATCGTCTTTCTCTTTCTCCTTGTCAGAATCCTCATTCTCATCTTTCTTCTGCAATATATTTTCAAAGAGAGTATATTCATCAGTATTTAAAAGCTTGAAAGAACAAATAAATGGGAGACATTAAATAGATCATATTAAGGAAAAGAAATTAAATAAATTATATTAACAATAAATTATATATTATATATTATATATTATATATTACAATATTAGCAGTCTTCTTTTTGGATTTGAATCTTTTTGCTATGTACAAGTGATTTTGTACACTTTTTGGTTTTGCATCGCCATTACACAAGAGATTTGATCGTAAAGGATCTCGTAGACGACAAAGTGTACGCGCATTGTAATACATCGATCTCCTAATAATATTAACTGTCACTTTGGATAACATAACAACTTATTCAATCACAAATTGAAATATCTACTTATTGGTTAGATAACCTTTCACAATGAAATGAATGTTTATAATTGTATCGAGTTCTTTTCCTGTCATATATTTATTTAAAAATGCAAAATACGAACGTTTTTAGTTATAAAATATTATAAACATTAATTATTCATCCTTAATTATCTCAACTTTTAAGATTAATTGCTAAATTAAGAGATGTAGGTTTTCTTTGTAACTGTACTCTACGGAAAGAGTGCACAATGGATTTATCATTCTTCCTCTTTTTCTCTCCAATGTCTAATTGTATATATCCATCTTATTTTGAGCGCAGAAAACGCGACGCAATGTAATTATTAAGAACAATGTAATTATAAAGAACTATCTACCATTGCAACCGTCAGCAACGGGATATTATTATATCTCGGAGATTTCTAAATAAGAGAGCAATTCGTGACGAAAATAAAAATTGGGGCATAAAAGTCGAATGTAGGGAAAAATAACAATAAAATCGTAAACGAAGTTTCTAGGAAACAAAATATAAGAGGCAATATTTAACAATTTTAAATAAATTTCTTTTACATTTCAATTTCAATTTTCGTCTTCTAGAAGCTTCCATCACTCAATTTCTCTTTAGACAATGCTCTTTAGACAATTTTAATCAGTTTAATATAGTCTAATATGAAGAATGGATGAATCCAACAATTTAGAAATTGCGGGATTTGTGTCGTAACATCCGTAAAATTGGGCAAGCCGGAAGTGTACGGTTCTTGAGTCAACTTTGTAACTAATCAAAATTTTCCGTAAATTTTTCCTCATTACGTGCTCATTTTCTTCCACCAATCTGTTAATTGAAAATTACGAGAGTATTTATCATCTAGATATCAAAACTGAAGAAACGAAGAGCATTTCATATTAGGCTGACATCCCACAGTCTGCAATCGACCATCTCTGTAACAACTCTATCACAACTCGCAAAGATCTTCGAAGCGTTGCACCGCATTGTCGCTTTTCATCGAATTATTTGCATCGTCATTGAGAAAAATCGTGCTAGAGCATCATGCCAAAGAATAAAGGTAAATACAACCTCGATTCTATCTTTAATCTTGAATTCTCGATTTTTCAATTATCGTGTTTGTTCCACTAATGTGGTTAAGTTTGTTAACTTAACCTAATTCGCGTCAACGTCATCCTTGAGGCGATTCGAGTCTTAAGTATTTTCACCCTTTCACACGCTCGCTGAGAACACTATCATGCAAGCCACGTTTTGTTCGCAGGAAAGGGAGGTAAAAATAGGAGAAGAGGAAAGAATGAGAATGAGACTGAGAAGAGAGAGCTGGTGTTCAAGGAAGACGGACAAGGTGAGAGTAAAATATGGTGCGAATGACGCGACGTCCTTTTGGGAACGAATGTTGGTGACTTATTCGATGTTTGTTTTGCGCAGAATATGCTCAAGTGACAAAAATGCTGGGCAATGGTAGGTTAGAGGCCATGTGTTTCGATGGGGTCAAACGATTGTGCCACATTCGAGGCAAGTTGCGGAAGAAGGTTTGGATTAATCAAGGAGACATCATACTGATTGGATTACGAGACTACCAGGATGCTAAGGCAGATGTTATATTGAAGTACACATCTGACGAAGCACGTAACTTGAAGACGTACGGCGAATTCCCAGAAACTGGTAAGTAGTATTCTAGCACATTTTGCAATGGAAATTGCGAAGTGTAGTTTAGTATATCACCTCTCTTAATTTTTAGTTAAATTCTTCTTAATCTTATAAATTATCTTATAAGTTATGAAACAAAATTTTTTTATCCAAAAAATTTTTATTTTATATACTTTCTAAAATAAAATGTTCTCTTAGTGCGTATCAACGATACAGTAACCTTCGTGGAAGATGGATTCGATGAAGACATCGAATTTGGGGATGAAATTAGCGACGATGATGAAGATGATGTTGACAATGTAAGTTTTTATATATTTTTAAAAATTGTATATATATTCTATCTATTTATGTTATATTATAATTTTTTTATTTTTTAGCTTTACTACACTTGTTTTATGTGCAATAGCAATTAAAAAGCTTACATTTTTAATTTACATTTTTCTCTTTATTTTTTTATTATTTTATTTTAGTCTAAGTAATAAACTAAATAGTGTTACATTCAGCATGTGATATATATATCATTCTTCTTACAGATCTGATGACCCGCAGTTTAATAATAAAAAAGATACATCACGTGAACGTGGTGTATATAATATGGGGACATCTATTCATTTCAAAAATACAATTACACGTCAAAGTTTCCTTCTGTCGAGTAGCTCATCTCACTGTATGTATCTACAAATAAATCGTCAGTTTATGGATAACATCGTGTTCCAGTTTGAATAGTTGTTTTTAATATTTGTAAATTTTTATAGAAGCGTAAATTCTTTCAAATAGCGAAATTATAAATATTTAGCATATTGAGTTGAATTTTGCGTACGCGTCAGATTAATCAGATCTACGTTTGTACATAATCAATATGCATACCACCTTTATATGATTGTTTTTCTTTGTATATTTCTTTTTTACGTCTTGTATTATCTGCCAATTTGTGAAATATACATATATATATTATTAACTCAGAAAATGAAATATCACTATATATCACTCAGTAAGTATTCTTTTTATATGTTGGAATGTCTCTCATTAAAAATTATCTTTCAGGAAGCGAAGTAACGTACAATTAGACTTGTCAAATTTTGATGAGATTTTAGAACTATTACTAGTATAAATTGCTAAAGTAATAAATTAAAAATATTAAATTAATAAAAGACGCATGAGAAGGAATAAGTTTTCTGTAACTTTCCCGTCTTAGCGTTCTTTTATTATTGTTTCAATCGGTTAACACATACATTGTTAGTAATATAGCAATTCAGTACAACACGTAACGCGTGCCACATTTAATTCTTAGGACATGCGTTTTGTTATGTAATCAGTGCAATTATTTATTGCAATGCGTATTCTTCGTTGTAAAAGGAGATTACAGTGTGTGCTGCATTTCGATATTATTTGGTATTAGCGAAAATGTGCAAATTAATTATTTGTATAATTTTTGTTTCAATAAAATTCGGATAATATTGTTTAAATTATAATGTAAAAGAAACAATTTGATTGTGAATTTGGATTTTTTTCATTAAATAAAATTGCGTATGTAAATGGAAAAAAAACATACTTACTTTCCCACATTTTTTCCCTGTAATGTATCGACTAGAAGATTTATGCAGTATTTCTCTTTGTTTACAAAAAAATGTTTATAATATGTAATATGAAGAATGTATACTTACGTAAAATTGTCCTGCTTAGTTCATATCCGAAATATAATAGTTTTTTTTTTAATATAATTAAATAACAATATTTGAAAACAATAAAAAATGTTAAATCAGAAAGAAAAATATACACGAAAAAATAGCGATTGATTGATTATTTATCGAATATCCAAATAAAATGAAAGAATGAAATAGGTGTCCTCTTTCCTTATTTTTCCATTGTAGAGGACATTGTAATTCTGATGCAACATTTTATTTATTATGCCGCTGATAGTTCTCTCACATAATAGTATAGTAAAGTATAGTCTTTCCTTTTTGATACTTGACGCCATGCAATGCTATTGTATTTTGTGACAACTTAATGCCATTATAGTATTGAGGAGGGACATGTAATTAGTATAGGGAGAATATGCTTGACTGCTTGACGTATTATGTTGTCCACAAAAATTAACTTGTACAAAAGTATGTGAGATATAAAGCATCAATTTGACCCTGGCACGTCAATGCTTCAATGATAAATGGCGCAGATATTACATTTGTCGCTAACGTAAAATAATACAAAGTATATTGCTATCGCTATGGAACATACCGTTTATGCCACGTAATATGATCACGTATAGCTGCACATGTATCTGTATAATAATACGTACAAAATATTTTTCCCCTCGAGAAATAAATCGTAAAACATCGTTGATAGCGTTGAAGCACCAGCGTCGCGATATTTGTAATGAATTCTGTACCAAATGTGATGACAATACATGGGAGCATATTATTTTATTTTGATGCGCGTGTGTGATTGTGCCTTTGGTCCTTAGGTCAGATAGGCTCTAGGCAAGTCTATTAAACGTAGTATAACAGTCATTATAGATAATAATTTATAAACTTCAGATAGCATAATCATTATATCTTTCAATATATTATACATTAATAGAATAGCTTATTTAAATTTTGTTCTTTTAAATATATTTATATATTATATGATTTTCCTTCCTTCCTCTTTGCGCTCAATAAAATTGTGTCGTACACTGAAAGCTAACATTGGCTTAGATATTAAAACGAATTCGCATCGCCCATCCCCCTAGATAACATAATCCCTACATTGTAATGGGTTTTCTTTAGATGTTATTCCAGTTTACATTGGTTCACGTGGATGACAACGTTGACAGTAATCGCATCGAGCTTACAATTAACGAGCATGTAACATTTATTTAGGGACTCGCTATATAAATAAAATACTCCTGTTATAGCACCTTACAATTATTACAATTTATAGTACATTAAT